ACAATGAGTGATGTAGCAAACAACAGATATCATAATGAGATGGGTGAAGGGGAGATCTCTCGTTTTATATACCTGCATCATGGATGATACTGAATTCTCAAGTATGATAGTGAAGAACTCGGAAGCATCCAACTCGTACTGTAGTGTCGCAGATCGGCGGTGGCTGCTTCCCGCCATCTCTGATAAGCAGCAGAAGAGACAAATTAGTATCCTTACAACAGATCATAAAACATGCATGATAACAGGCATTAGTCGCAAGTACCCCATATGTCCTATTTTTAGCAAAGTCATGCTAAAATTCACGGAAAATTTCAGCATTACCTTTGCTGAAAATAGGACATATGGAGTACCCGAATTTGCCGAAACGGAAGTTAATCGACATTCCGGCAAACTCAAGGGCCTCTCGGGGTACCTACAACATCATCAAGTACAGCAGCAGCAGCAGTGAATACAGGCATAACAGCATCAAAACTATATATTTTTATGCCAATAAAACAACTCATGGAAGTAAACTACTAGCAGGCTCAAAAGTCAAGTAAACTGAAGATGCCCTAATGGAAGTAATAACAACATGACAGCAAACAACCAACAAACATGATGGGCGTAAGATTAATGAACCAACATCGACAAACCATATGGACAGAGATGTAGTGAGAGGAAAATTCTTTTCTGAATTTTTTATTTGTCTTTGAATCTGTTCCCAAAGTCAGCCAGAACAAACACAACATTATTCCCCCTAATTGCAAGATGCATCATTTCTAATTAATTAGGAGAACCTACCTAGCGAGTCTCTGATTCGTTTATACCGTCAATAAAAAAAATTCTACAAGAAAAAAAAGGTAGGCCAAATATTCATGTCACTTCCATTAGGGCATCATCTTCCTACAACTACTCATCTTCAGCAGCACATGATACTACTACTGTATCTAATACAACAACATGACACTTGTTACTGTATCTAATGTTCCTACAACTACTGTATCTACAATAGTAGCACATGATACTGCTACTGTATCTACAACTACAACTACTACAACAACATAAAACTACTATGCATCATCTTCCTACTATAATTGCTACTCATCTTTAGAACCAAACACCAGCAAAAAAAAACCAAACTACTATCCATCCATCTAGCAAGCAACTAGCACAACTTATCCATCCATCCATCAAGCATCATATACCTAACTAACATCAACATACATACATCTATCTAATATCCATTGATCCGTGTAACAAGAGAGGAATAGGGAACAATGACATGGACAAGAAGCATAGAGGCAAGGAAGAGAGGCTCACCCCAGGCCGCGATCGAAGGAGAGCAGCCGCTGGCCACGCGCAGGAAGAGACGGCGGGAGGTGGTGGCGAGGGTCACGGCACCGTCCTTGGCTCGCCGGCTGCTGCGGAGGTGACCGTCGGTGAAGGACGGCAGGGGCAGGCGGGGTGGGCGTGTCGGGGCCGCGCTCGCCGGCTGCTGCAGGGGCCTGTACCGGAGGCGGGGCAGCGGAGGGTTCGGCCGGCTGGGCGCACCGCGGCGGCGGGCCGGCAGCGGTGGCGGCGGCTAGGAACCCTAGCTGTCGCGCTCGGGAGGGAGGTTGACGCAGGCGGGGCCGCGGGGGGAGGGGGACGGCGAGGGCGCGGGCGCGGGCGGAGGGGGGACGGTGAGGGAGGTGGTCGGCGGCGGAGGGTGGTCGGGTGCACGGCCGGGGACGGCGAGCACGGGGGAAGTGGTGGTCGGCGGGTGAGATGAGGCAGGGGAGGGATTAGAGTGTGGATTGGGGATTGGGGATTTTAGTGTGGGGGAGGCTTAGCATTGGCGCACCACCCAGGGGTGCGTCATAAGTACATCCATAGCAATGGCGCACCACCGAGGGGTGCACCATAAGTAATTTAATCTAGCCCGACTTGTCGGGTTATATACCACCTAACCCTATCTACAACAGAACTTGCCTGCTAGCCCGACTGGTTAGTACGCAGCACACACACCAGGAGGTCCTGGTTTCGATTCCTAGGCTCCTCAATATTTTTTTTATGCATTTTAAATCCTGTTTGATATTTATTTCTGTTTAAATATGTTCAAACTTGTTTAAATCATAATAGTAATATTTTTTTATAAAAACAGTAATAATTTTTTAAAAAATATGTTCAAAACAGTAATAAAAATATTTTTTTTATAAAAACAGTAATAATTTTTGAAACGGGGGGTGCTCGTCGGCGGCGGTGGAGCGGGGGA